AATAATTATAATTAATCATATTGTATTTTGGAAAGGAATCAAACATTTGTTCTATCTTCAGTATCTTGAATAGTACTGTATCATCCATAGTTGAATTCTCGAGAGACAATCCTATCGGCATCCCGAGGTGTATTTCCAATTTTAGCAAGGTCATCGTTGCAGGCGTTGCCCTCATCAAGACGGGACGCCATGCTACGCAGACTAATTTCATGGCATCAGCGTTAGTTTGGCATAGTAAAGTGGACTGAATACACCAAAGAGTAAGTCTTGATTGAAGTGAGTATCATTTCTGTCTTGCATAGCTTTAACTCATTCCTGATGGCGTGTTATTCTGATACACTTTGTTCGATTTCTAGCGTACAAATGGTTTGCAACTCTCAGATAACTAGGGCGAGAATAGCAAACAGCGATGCTTTGACGTGAATATCTACCGTTACTGATTCTTCTAACTCTTACCAGGGAGAACTCAAGCAAAAATATTACACCTTTTCCACCGTCTACTCCTGTCTCTCTTACACTAATCTCCGGGGATTCGTGTAAGAAAAGAAGAGGGAGAGGAGTAGACGGTGGAAATACAGTAGTCACTGCTCTTACGTACGGATGCTGATCTGATATGTAACAGAACGTAGCGTACACCAACTGATGAGAATATTGCGCTATGAGCATGACATTCTCCAATCATTTTCACAAATAGAAACATTCTTGCATTGCTCGTATGTTAATCCTATTTGTGTGTGATTATGCATGTCCACATACAAAAAGAGTTCAACTCTATTTTGCAGATATAACCGTACTCTAGCTCTAGGTAGTGGTATGCAAAGAGCGGTTCTTGCTTGCCAGCGTCTCGTGTAGTGTAATATCATGAATCAAGTGCAGTCTTGAATTATAATTACCAACGCAAAACCTGAATGGCTTTCTTAAGGGTTAAGCATGGAGTTGCAAGACCGCACTGTATGTGTAAGTCTGCTCAGATGCAAGACAGCTAAGGTAGTCGTAGGGATTGAAAGAGAAAAAGCCTTATGCCTTAGGCTGCTCAATTCAGCATGCAGTTGCAAGGCCGCACTGTATGCATAGTGGAAGTCTGTTCAGATGCAAGACAGCTAAGCTAGTCGTAGGGATTGAAAGAGAAAATGCTAAAGTGGAAAAAGGCTTGCGCCCTAGACTGTTCAATTAAGCATGGAGTTGCAAGACCGCACTGTATGTGCAAGTCTGCTCAGATGCAAGACAGCTAAGGTAGTCGTAACGATTGAAAGAGAAAATGCTAAAGTGGAAATAAGGCTTGTGCCTTTGACTGCTCAGATCAACATACAATTCCAA